TACACATATTCTATCGATGTCAATGAATACTGCTGTATAATTCATTCTGGTATGCTTCATCTTCTATTAGTGTCACTTGAGAATGTAGATAAATTCTAAATACTGTAATTCAGAATGTATGAGCTTAAACAATTTGCTTTATTTTCCTTTGAGTAAATGGCTGCAAATTTAAAAATAAATTTTTTTATTAACATTGTGAAAGGTTTTTTGCCCTTATGATGTCCTTATTAAAAATGTATTCTTTTTGTGGTTAATCACTCTACTTTTGCATAGTTGGCAGGAAATCATAACAGCTAAACTTTTGTTAAGACATTACACCACACAAGTTATAAACTGCATTAGTTACAGTAGGGCTAGGAATTAGGTCTCCAAATATCTGGTGATCCAAAATTATATTCAAAGAACTGTACCTTCATTTAATTAATGAAATACAAAACTCTCTACCTTTTGTATCAACTATGAAAATATAGTGATATATTTATTTGTGTGTTGAAAATTTCTTCATGAAACAAACATTAATGAGTGTTGACTGAGTGACTCATTTTAAACCCAAATAATGCTTTTGAAAGTATTTAAAAATTACTGGTATTTAAATATTCAGTGGATTTCAAACATGCATTTAAAACAAGGCAGGTATTTGTCACAAGCTCATGCCAATAAAGAAAACTTTTTTTTTTAAATTAACCTTCTCACTGTCATTTCAAGTAGTTTTTCTGTGTTTTGAAGTTGTTTGTTTAAAGGAATAAAGTGTGTTCTGCTGTCTTATCAAAACCATACACTCATATGAAAGAAAAAAAAGGAAGCATATTAAAGAATGTGGCAATATGACAACAGAAAGCAGTAACCCATAAGCCAGCTATTTAGATGTGCCCATTTTCAACACAGGCAATACTAGACTTCCAGCTCGAAACAATTAGTTTCTCTTGTGGTTCAGGAAGAAGAAACTGTTGCGTTTGGGGTTTTATCCTGCCTGTTACAAAGCAAGAAAGAAAATATATTATATGATGCTAATGTACAGTATCTGAATTGTGTTGTGTGAATAACAGAGATTTTACCTTATGCTTTTCTCCACCTTAACTGGCTTTCTTAATGAAACACATTATTCCCTGTCACCTGTGTTTTCTTGTGCTGCCGAGTCCTAGGAAAACACTTTTACAGTCGTCCAGTTCTTCTGCAGGTTGTTTTCTTGGTGGATGGCCACTGATGGGCGTACATGAAGTACAGAGGGAGTCACTGTGGAAATCTGCACTTGAACTTTCAATCTGATTTGTTATTTGGTCTTGGCACCGTAAGGTTTCTATGTCTTCATCCTTTAATGGAAAAACCCGAAGTTCCCACAGCTCAGACTGAAAGGAATGAAAGAGGAGAGGGGCGAAAGAGGAGTCCTGTTTAGTTATGTGCAGAATGATTCTGTTATCGAGTAACAAATAAATCTTGTTCTTTACAGTGGTTGCAAGGTTCTTTGGAGACAGGGAAGAATACCATTCTGCTGGGTACCAGTTTTCAATGTAGCTTGACTTAAAACAACACAACTTCATTTTGTATAGAATCTTTTAAATAAGTTGTATCCCAAAATTATTTCCAAGATTAAACAATGCAGTTACGAAGTAAAGGGCAAGGAATGTAAAAAAAGCAACCCTCTATTTTCTACCGTTAAAGAACATTTATTACCATCACAATCAGACTATTTGGAACCAATGTTGGCATCCTCTGAAGAAAAGCTACAGAATATATCAATAGAGAGCCTGCTTCTCTCATCTCTGATGCTGAGACATTTTGACCTAGTAATGAACGTTTTGCCTGTGCTGTTCCTATTCTGTTGACAAAATGAGGATTTCTTTTGGAAGTGATCTCCATCTGGTAATTTGCAGAAGCTCTGAATGCAATCCAAAAACGAAGGTAGGAAGTTAAATGTCTAAGTAGCAATAGAAGAGAACATTTACTTTGCAATTTTAGAGCCTAATCCAAGACCCACTGAAGTCAGGGAAACTTTGGGTACTGGATCAGGCTCTAAAATTTAGTTAGTAAAAACGACCATACCTTTGTTTCTTGGTTTTCCTTTGAAGATTGTGGGACCCTTAAACATGCAGAACCATGGATTTCTGAAGTAAGGTCAGAAACAGCTTCAGCAGCACAATGCAGCAAGGCACATGAGTTGTGATGATTTTCTGTCATTACTGGATCCTGTCCTCGCTGGCCTTCAGCATTTTTGCTATAAGATCTAGTATATGACAAAATGAGAATATAAGGGGTTTTTTTTAGTCAACTGCTCAGTGACTGGAAACTATTCCATTTTGCTTTTAAAGGGGGAAAAGGCACTACTTTTAAGTTTTTAATGGCTTCTTATGTATATGCTTAGAAGTAAAGATAACCTGAAAAACAGAAGTTTATAGCAACACTGGCCTTGGTATAAAATATTTAAATATATTTTATTTCTCTGACAGTATTTTCTGAAAGTACAAGCTTAACAGAATCCAGTAACTGAAGTGGGCCTCTAAATGCAATTACTTCCAGTCTCAGGTACGGGGAAGCAACGCCCCAGAGATTAATGAGTGAGAAGCGACACCCTATTCATTTGGCTAAGAAAATAATTACGAAGCATGGCAGTGAACAGCAGCAGTGAGTTGAGTACAGAAAGTGTTAAGATTTTATTCACTAATATGCCAGTATACCTGATATTCTTCTAATTCACATGATTTAAAGCAACATAGTTTTCCTTTTTGAACAATAAATTAAACATGCATAGTAAACTATTTGATAGAGAATACCCTCATTTTCAAAGTTGCTGCTCTGCTACCCACAGAAAATCCCAATGATTCTGTCCTCCATTTATGACAATACACCTGCCTGCTATTTCTTCTTGGCCATTGGCTCTGCTCCCACAATAACCACCTTGCTTTCTCTCGCTGTTCATATTTTGCATGACGTGAAGAAAAAAGTTCATCTGACAGATCTTCAATCTGTAATAAAGGAGAGATGGCTCCTGCCATGATTACAAGCATCACTAAAAGTGAAGACAAAGGTTTTCTATACAGTCATGGAAAATCTGTGCCACACATGCAACCAACAATATAGACAGTACACTGAAGGGTACAAAGGTACACATCACTAACCTGTATGTGTTCATGTAAAAATGATAGAAAAGTACAGCTACATGATACAATTTTTAGCCCCCCCAATTTACATATTTGTAAGGGGGGATCTCAAGTTGATACAGAAGTTATTCATGCCCCTAGAGAAATAATCCAGATTTTTTTTTAAATGAGAACTACGCTAGAATGAAAAACGAGGAAGGTTATGTACTTTTAAGTCAAGTAAACAGGAAATGTGCTACCTTTTTGGATGCAATTATGGCTCTTCTAGAGTAGGCTTTGGGTCAGGCCCTAATGCACATGCTTGCAAAGTTGGCTGGGTAGCTACCTACCAATCAGAACTCCATTTACATAATGTCTTACAGAAATAGGACTGCTCTGTACTCCATCTTGTGATTTTTCGGAAAGAATTCTCATTATTTTGCATTCATGTTAAACACAAATCACTTTGGAAGTCCTTTTAATCTCCTTTCTTCCTCTGGTATTTACTAACTCTTACATTTGTGTATCTTGCTATAACTTCTTCAAGGACGACGTACAGTGTAAAAGTGACAATTTTATGGACTACAAAAGTTCTCTTCCCTCTAGGAGAATTAAATTCATTTGTAATCAAATTTACTTTTAAGTTGAAACAAAAGAACTTTAAAAAAGTCTATGGATTTTGAACATTAGCAAATTGTCAAGTCTTTCATGCTGTGAAAATCTTGGTTTTAACACGCTTCCTTTCAGCAGTCAAAATCCATGTTCCTCTACGTGAAAAGATTTTTGATTTTGCGATTGTTCCTTTTATACCAGTTGTACAATATTTAAAGTAAATTTTACAATTATCCATAAAGGACTAAAAGCATCTGCTGTTAAAGACATTTTGAAGAAAATCAAAGTATTCTGATTGACAGTCTAAATCACTTTGTACACAAGAATACTATAGCACACCGACATTGTAAAAAGCGATCTCTTTGAACTGGGCTGGAACACAGGATTTCACCTTTTTGCTATTTGTATTTTGTGGCACCTAGAGCCCAGCCAAGACCAGGGTTCCACAGAAATTCTTCTTCAAAGTTAATAAACGAAGTCAGGCTAGTAAGCGATTACAAAATTTAATTGCGATTAAGTGCGTGTGCCCCCCTTGAAACGCCGTGGCGGACAGTGCTGCATGGAGCCCAGGATCAGCTAGAGTCCCCGGGCTCCATGCAGCGCTGTTCCGTGGAAGCCCCGCGGCAACATTTCCAAGGGGCAACGCATTAGGAGCCTGGGGTCAGCTGAAGATTCCAGCTGATCCCCAGCTCCACTGTTGCAAAGCCCCTTTGAAGCTCCAGAGCAGCAGTTCAAAGAGGCAGTGCAGCATTAACATCTGCGATTAATACGTTACAATATTAATGCGCTAATCCTGTTCTGCATTAATCCTAGAACACTAGAACTGGATGGGACCTCAAGAGGTCATCAAGTCCAGTCCCCTGCCCTCATGGGCCCAGTACTGTCGAGACCATCCCTGACAGATGTCTGTCTAACCTGTCCTTAAATATCTCCAGAGATGGAGATTGCACAACCTCCCTAGGCAATTCATTTCAGTATTTAACCATTTTGACAGGAAGATTTTCCTAGTCCAACCTAAAACTCCCTTGCTGCAGTTTAAGCCCATTGCTTCTTGTCCTGTCCTCAGAGGCCAAGAAGAACAATTTTTCTCCCTCCTCCTTGTGACACCCTTTTAGATACCTGAAAACCGCTATCATGTCCCCTCTCAGTCTTCTCTTTCCCAAACTACACTATGACCCCCTAGATCCCTTTCTGCCATACTCCTTCCTAGACAGTCGCTTCCCATTCTGTATGTGAGAGAGTGATTGTTCCTTCCTAAGTGGAGGCGTTAATGCAGGTCAATTGACAGCCCTAATAAGAAGTTAAAAGTTAGACTATACAAATTTTACAGCAGAACGTATTTTCTGATTTGAAAGTTATTGCATTGCTACTTGGAGCAGTAAGAGCTCCAAAGAGCAAAACTGCAGTTTGTGGGTCCAACAGTTACACCAGTGTCTCTCCACTGGAGACAGAAGAGAATTTGGTCCTCTCTCTTGTCAAACTGTAAAACTTTTTTTTATATACGTATCTTCCACCCAGTTTGGATTAATTTGGAGTTAGTATAATTTGAAGCTGGGAAATTTTGAAATCTATTCCTTTGGTTGATTTGAATACAACAACAACAAACAACAACAACAACAACAAAAGGCTTTCTGGTCACAGGTGGGAGATTCTGGCAATGATTTTTAGGGAAACTTCCCCTCAAACCCTCTTCAAAAAAATGAGTAAGTATGTTCATTTGGCATATCTAATGATTGGTCTGAGGAAAAAGTTTTAACCAAACCAAGCTTTGGATTCTTCCACAGCATCTGGTCAACCTTATACTCTATAAGTACGTCTACACTGCACGCTTATTTCAAAATAAGCTATTCCAGAAGAAATACGCTGAAATAGTTTATTTCAAAATAGCACCTCTACACTACAGGGAAGCCTCAAAATTAGTCTGAGGCAGGCTTCCTTAATGTGGGACATGCTACCTCAATTTAGAGCCCCAGGAGGCACTGGGGAGTAATTAGCTTAAATGGCCCTGGGGAGGAGCTATTTTGAAATAGCAGCAGTGAAGCATCTACACTATAGCTATTCTGAAATAGCTACTTCAGAATAGGCATTATTCCTCATGGAATGAGGGTCACAGACGTCAGAATAAGCCGTCTGTTATTTCAACACTATTTCAAAATAATGGAATTCCTGTGTAGATGCTCGCATTGTTATTTCGAAATAATGGCTGTTACTCCGAAATGACGCTGCTATGTAAGATGCATCCTATGTGACTAGATGCCATATGGAAATAGAACTTATTGGAAAACCAAAAGTGTCTTCCAACCTTGAAAAGTTATTTATGAACTCATCCCTGCCACACTGATGACATATTAAAATATGTGCCTCTACTGAAACAAACAAAAATATTACATAAACTTCTACTGGTTATTTATTACAATTATGTTTGGCCATGGATTTCAACTTAGACAATATTAATCTCAAAACCTCACAGTAAGAAAACGATTGATCATAAATTTCAACACAGAAATCAGGAAATTCAAAAGCTACAGTGGCACAGAAATAGAAATCTTACCCTATACATGCACAATTACCTATTTCCCACTTATATGTATCTTTCATAAAGATTCTATTTTTAACTGACACTTACTTTATTATAGTATGTGTGTGAGTGTGCAAGCGAGAGTAAAAAAGAGGTAAACAATGCAATTATTTGGTTTTTAGACAGCTAGAGGAAAGGAACATTATTTACTACTAATTCTGATATTTCATGTCTTTTCTCTCAAGCTACCCAGTAATTGTAATGCCTGTCAGCAGCAATGTTCCCTCTATTTTTTTTCACCCATGTGCAGAATACATTTTATTATGTGCACTGAGGCATGTGTGGATGTACCCACACATGCTGCGGGCACTCTGTTAATCAGCTGGGTGGCACTTGAATCTTGCCTGGATGGCTGCCCAAGTGCTCAGTTTACAGGGAACATTGGCCAGGACCTCCAGGGCACTACCACGGAAAAATCTGTCCACCTTTTCCATGGAGCTATAGAATATATAGGCAAGGTACATTTTCAGAAGGACAAGTGGTGGAATCTATCATAAGAAGAAGAAATATTTTGTCCTTTGTGACCTGGAGTATTTTCTATCCAAATGACTGAAGACAGAAGATCTCGTTTACCTGATCCCATTCCTCAGAATAACCTCTTAAGATTGCTGCATGGCAGGTATTGCCTTTTCAATCTCCAAGGGAGAGAGAAATCCTTTGAAAAGTTTACTCCTTGTCTAGTATATTGGACCATCTAACCGCCACATAGAAGGGTCCTGCCAGCTAAGAAGGATATTCTCACCCAGGATGGTAGCAATATCTTTGTTTTGGACCACGGGCTGGATGTTTGTCTTGGAACTGCTGTTAGTCCAAGTAGAGGTCAGACTCAGGGGTACATGTCAGTGATATTGATCAGAGATAGAAATCAGATACCCCCAAAGATTCCAGGAAGGTAGCAAAAATGGCAGGTTTCTATCTAGACATTTAACTCAGGTCAGAAGAAACAGCAGCAGAAAGAAAGGGAGGAAAGAAAGTTCACACTGGGTCTGGGAAATACCGCGCATGCCAGGGAAAGTTTCCCAAACCAGTAAGTCCAGAGGGGTGCCATGAAAGAGGCAAGCATATCCATGCTCCTGGAGGAACAATAGCAGTGGATGATGAAGGAATTGTTCATGGTGTACTGAGGAGAGTGATACAGGCTGCTCTGCTTCAGACAGGAAGGAGGAATGCATCCCTCCTGCCAATGTAAAACTAAACCATGGTGCAAGGAGTAGACAAATATGGCCCACATAAAAAAAAAGAGATAAAAATATCTGCTGAAATGGTACAAGCCCAAGGAAGTTGGCTTTCTGGTGCTGCTTGTTGACAATGCAGAGGATGAGGGACTTCTAGAAAACCTGGAGATCCACCTGATTTTCCACTCTCTGGAGAGGGTGTTCCACTGGATCTCTAGTATCGCAGTCCTCAGACAGATTGGTGGCAATTAGGGCAGGAGGTTGGTAGAAGGGGCTTGCTGCTGGATCACTGGCTGAGCCCCACTATGCTAGAGCTTTGCCAAAAAAGGTGCAGACACAAAATCTTAATTGTTTCAACTCTGTGTGTTCTTTCCCATCCTCCTCTTCTCCTTCCTCTTTTCCTTAGAGCTAAAAGGAAAACAATGAAGAAACTACAGGCTTCCTGATTCTAGGATGTAGGTAGGCTGATTATATACTAGCACTGACTCCTAGTTCTTTCATCTCCTTGCTTCCGAATGGAGATTCATCTTACTTATCACCCGTTAGTGCTGCCGCTAGGAGGTTGGCAGGATGGGCGAAGAGACAGCTGACAAAATAAGTATATAAAACACTTATTCAAACAAAGGCTTAGACAGGTTTTTAACTTGACAGGTATTATAAAAAGCTTATTTTTATAATTTCAGACTTACCAGGGGTTTTCATTAAACCAATGTCTACTGAAAACATACACTAAGAAGCCATATATTATACTCTTGGTTTCATTAAAATGTAGCCTACCTCTTCTTCATCTATGTGAAATCGTCCCAGAGGATGAAGCTCAACAACTCTCCAGCTACGAATTGGAGAAGAGTAGTTAACACATGGTTAGCCAAATTTAATGTTTTATCGCCTCAGCTGTGAAATGAGGTTATTCTGTTTCTAGTCAGTGTCATTTGTTGGCTCTTATTAAATAGTACAATTCTGCAGTATTTACGTTGCAAGCTTTATAAGGGAATGTAAACATTTAAGTAATTAAAACAGGTCTTCTCTAACATTAGGTTCTACAAAATCTTTCTTTAAAAAAATACAGAATCTGAGCTCCTTAATACTATTCCTGTTACTACGATTTTAAGCCTTTAAATAGAACCAGCCTACGCCTGAAACAGAATCAAAGATATGCAAATAAAAGGACTAGCTTAGATGATTTACTCATTATTTAGTTTAACAGAAACTTGTTTAAGATGTTCTAAGAATCTATGTATTTTAAATGAGTTAAGAGAACCATATATCAGAAATAATGGAGTTACGCTACTTGAAAAAGTTAAATCCAATTAATAAAATCAGACATTAAAAATAATGTTTAGGTATGTGTATTTCTGTGCATGTTATTGAGCGTATGAATTCTACTGAACTAAGTAATAAAAAATAATCTTAGATCATGCATTTATGTCTGCAGTGTGCACCAGAATTAAGATTAAAGAAAAACATTCTTATTTATTTTTACAGTGTGCTTATTTGTGCATCAGACCCCACTGTGTCTAAAGGAAGTCTGACCATTTCCCTTGGGGGAAAGAAGGAAGATTTATGGAAAAAGAAAATGTATCACTAGTGTTTCCCCATAAATGCAAAGAGGGAAAAATGAACATACCTTGGAGTAAGGATTTCTTTGTATTGTAGCTTCTCCAGTTTAGAGGGAGCAACCAGTGACATAGGAATAACAATGTTGTCTATATCATAGGAGCTCTCGCTTCTCAGTCTCCGTCTAGAGCTATGCTACATAACAATAATACAGAAGTCATTAGTTTAATGATAACAGCTGCATGTTAATGATAAGACTAAGCATTGTTTTTTGTAAATTTAACAGTCACAAAAGCAAAATGATTTTTTAGAATGATATTTTCAAAAATACTCAGTTTTGAATTAACCGTGTTCCCATTGAAGTCAATGGGAATTGTAACTCTGATTTCACAATTATAGTCAGTGCTGAGAACCGCTGTTGACAATTCCACCGTGAACAGCTATATTCTTCATAATGTTCATGCTATACTTATTACCTGACCACTACACAAATGTTCCTGCACTCGATAAAAGTAAGAATGCCAAGAGGTCAAAGCATAAATATAATATGATAAATGACTTGATCAGTGTCGAATAATCTAGATGGAAAATATTTATCTGGAAATCTCCAGAAATCCCTTTGTTAAGGATAAGAGGATGCTGAATTTCTGAGCATTTTCCTTCTTGGGGCTATCCAACTTCTCTCAAGTGTGTGGACTGACTTTTCTATATTACAGAAGGTGGTTTGGTTCTAAAACATGATTCAATCTAAATTACAGAGCTTTCTGTTTTCAAGTGAAAAAGCAAGTTTCAAAGTAAATCACTTTCATTCAATTTTGTAAAAGAAGGAAGTTCCCACTAGATGCAGACATGTAACAAACTCAATCAAGGAAAGAAATTCAACAGAATTTGCATTACCCAAACTGCTTAGGGAACATCAATTAGGTTTAGATGATCAGTTACAGCATTTGTCAAACTGTAAGCCTTCATATTTCTGCAGCACTGAAACCTGAAGACTTTTAAGGTAAAATTCCATGCAACTCTAATAAATGGGAGGTTTGGCATTGATTTTAATGGGGCCTGGATATCACCGTCACTTTATCAGAGGCTCTGCTAATTGTTCAATAAACAAAAGACTCAGTCATGGTTTGGTATATCACGATGCTGCGGGATGAAGGCTGTATTTAAGTTGCCAGCCAATATTGTACAGCTCCATCAGGAGGCGGTGTTATAAAAGTCTTCAGTCACAGTTCCAGTGGGGACATGAATTATATGATACATTTTATTCATTGTAAAAATCCAGATTTTAAAAAAAAGTTCTGATAAACTAATTACATGGTCTGTGAAAATGTCTTTGAGAATGCATTTCTATGTTCTGTGCTCCCTTCCCAATGCAGACTATTAATCTCATGCTAACTATGCATGAGTGAAACTATGTAAAGCAATTACATTGTGAAAGGTCTGTATTTTTATTTATTAATTTGTACAACTCTCTGGTGATGTTTTAATTAATCCATCAGTCTATTCATTTTTTTTACCTGTGACGATGTGTTTGGGGTAGCTCTAGACATCAAATTGACATGAGTCACTGCAGTAAAATCGTTATGGGATTCTGGTTCTGCACGTCGAAAGCAAAAAGCATCACTGTTACATTCTCCTGCCACAAAAATATTTGAAAAAAATATTTGTCTATTATATTAAAAATATTTCCCACATTGTAGCAAATGAGGCCCTTTCTGAAAGCGCCCAGCTGAACACCTGAGATTTCATTAACACCTAACAGCCAGTTATATGGCTCTTTCTATGGAAAATTTACCTCCATCACTACTGTCCCACAAAAACTGCCTCTCTAATGCAAGGGGGATAATTCCTTCTTGGAAGCAGCCTCATTGTGTCAGATCCTGCCTCGTTTACAGATGTTTTCAGACTATGAACAACCAAAAGCAATCACATTCGTAGGGATAATCTTGAACAGAGTGTAGCCTTCCCTGACAGGGCTGTATATGCATTGGGTGCTCTAATGGCTATGTGATAAGAAGCAGTTTTTTCCTGCCTGATGGCTAAGAAGAACCGGCAGCAAAGATGACAATGGCAAAGTCAATTGCCTCACCTGCAAGTCTGATTTCCCCTAAAGTGCATTCAATGTTCCAGACAAGTCATAATTCATGGGTATTCTTTATTCAGTCCCAGTGAATGCAGCCCCTCCTGCAATTTTTTTGGACTCTAAAAGCAAACCAACATTGTTCCCAATTTTCTCTTAGCCTGACTTGAAAGAGAATCCCATACTAAAATATATTTAGAACACTAACTAAATATAAAGAGGATCTGGCAAGAGCAGAAGAAAGGTAAGAAGAGACACCAGATAAAGCATAGTTATGTACAATGTGCGTCAAGTATACGAACTCTAATCTCATAAACAACTCTGCAATTCTCTGACCCTGCTCACCAGGCTGCTGACTTTCCTCATGGATAATTTCTCTGAGACAGAGCCCAAATTAACAGAGGCTGTGGGGGGAAGAGGAGTGTGTGTAGTCGACAAGATTATTGGTTAACTGTATAGTCGACTACACGTTGACATCCCTATAGCATACAATAAGTGAAACATAGCTGAGTTCAGAGACAGCAAATAGTTGGTTAAATGTCTTTTTTACAAATATATCGCATAGCCTATTTCATGGAGAATTTTTTGAAATGTAATAAAACCCACACTGTCAAGTATTACACAAATGCAACTTGAGTCTCCTTAAGGAGCAACTAATAAGAAAAAAACAGAAGCATGTCTACTTTTGTAATTGCATCGAAGTAGAATTGGGGAAAGAAAGGTGGGAGGATGGAAGAAATAAAAAGAAGCAGAAAATGGTATGTCTTAAATGGCGCACATCTATTATTTGCACTGTCATCATAAGCCTATTTTTCACATTCCCTTAAGAGACAATTTTATAAAATTATCTACTAATTTATATGAAAAAACAACTTTGAATAAAGTGTGAAGCCCAATGGTAAATCACATTCTTTTAAGGGTATTTTCAGTAAGAGTTTCTAAGTAGTTTATATAGTTTTTCCTTACCTATCGCTGTCTCACTTAGGTGCCTTTTTTTTCTTCCCTCTGAGAATAGTTCTGATGTTTTTGATGCAGCTTGAGGTCTGGAGTTAAGTAAATAGCCACTGCTCCATTGTTTGAAAGAAGCATTATGCTGATTGTATTCTGCAACAAAATAAGCATTTCTAAAGTTTCAGATTCATTTTCATTACATGAATAATAATAATGAAATAGTGACAGGTTCTTCTGAAACATATGAAGTACATAGGGTAACAATCCCTGGCATGTGTAGACACAAAAAAGGCCAACCACTGAGTCAAAATTCACCTCAAAGTACATAGGGTAACAATCCGTGGCATGTGTAGACACAAAAAAAGGCCAACCACTGAGTCAAAATTCACCTCTGAGTTCCACTGATGAAATCATATTTGCTTCAATTGATTTACTGTAGCATAACAGAAAAGCATCTTACCCTTTGTGTCTTTTTTGCTCATAACTGTACTACAGCAAGGGTTAATTCACATTTTAGCTAGTGTTAACTATATTTCTAAACAGACTATTTATTTGTAAGCAATTAGAGATATAACAGCACCTTTAATACCAGGCACATGGCAAAAAGCAGTTAAGGTGGAAGAGGTGCAAGGTATGGGGTACATTGGAGATAAGGGATATGACATAAGGCAGATTTCCTGCAGAATGCAATACTTTACTATCCCACAGAATTCACATAAAATCTTCTTATTTCAGCTGCTGCTACCTTTGTATGCCATACATATCTCATTTTAGTAAGCCACCTGTCCTTTATCTCAACAAAGTCTAATCAACAATGAATAAATACTAGACAGTTGAACAGTTGGGTAACCAAAGAAGCTATTTACACAGTAAGAGATGGAAAAATCTATAGCTTTAAGTAATAAACTGACTTAAAATAATTAGTCATGCTCTGATTCAGCAAGATACTTGAACAGTCACATTGACTTCACTTAGGCATTTAAGTACTTTACTGAATCAATGCCTTGGTTTTAAAATGTTCCAGCACACTGACATTCTAAATGGTGCAATGGCTCTAGAGAGGATCCACACCCCTTACATTTGTTGTGCTGTTATTGTAGCAGGTTAGCTGTAGATATTGTTAAAGCAATACTCAGTGTGGACACAGTTATATTTGTAGGAAGGGACCTGTATCAGTGTAACTTATTCCTTCATACTGGTAAAATGCATCCATGATAGGGGATTGTGCTACTTTGCTCAGATTCTAAACCAATATAGTTATAGCTGAGAGAGTTTAAATAGTCCTCAGTGACCATTTGGAGAAGTTTATCATCAAGTTTCTAAGCTCATGCTGATTGCAGCAGCATCTCTTAATGAGAACAATCTGCAACAGGACTATAGGTAATTTCCAAGGAGTCGCTACGTAATTTGCTTGGCAAGGGCTTAATGATTTAGATGAATCAACAGCATACTGGTGTGAAATGCCTTTGGCACTGATTGGTTTTATATTCTCATACATACAATACACTGGCTAAAAACATATGGGCCTCAGAGGCGTTACATCTTTGGCCACTTTACCGCCTTTAACTGAACACTGGAACATTTTAAAATCTCCTAGGTTGTCCTCTCAATAATTTTTGGGAACTGGTGCAGAAGGCCACAATTAAGGACAACCAGCTGTGTTTATGCAGGTCCAATGATGCTCACACACAACTATCAGGAAGAACACCTGTTATTCCAGCTCATAATTAGATATAGCAAGAAAGGAGAACTGTATAGCATCCTGGAACCCTGTACAGGTTGCAGGTTAGATTTTACATTCCCATTCTCTTCACAAATTTACCTACATAAAACCCAACTATTTGGAATCTATGTGAGTGGGATGAGTTTTTCCCTAGATTCCTTATTTCTTCCTCCTAACTCTTGTGCCCCTTATTCTCCCAGTATTTAGTCTTATGACCTGATCAGATTGTAAGCTATGTTGGGCAGGAGTCATACTTTTATAAAATCACATAAAACATTAATAATATTTAAGGCAGCACCTATAATACAAAAAGAAATGTTGAGAAAATAGCTAAAATATAAATGTTGCACTAATTAAAATATTTTGCATCACATACCATTGAACGGAGACATTTTAAACTCTACCCCTAGTGCTGAGAAGTCAACAGGATCTCCTTTGATCTTGTCCTCCTTTAACAATGTTTCAAAATATATATGAAGAGGAATATCTGAAATACAAAGGAAGAGACATGCATCTAAGACAGCCCCCCAGCTCTGGGACAAGGAGTTCTACATTGGCATTACATTTCTATTCATACAGTCTGTTTCATGTTCTGTACAAAGAATACTGCTGCCTCGAGCCCACCAGCTCACAAAGACAGACTGACGGCTTGTGCTGGACAATGTCTTCAGATAGTGAAACTGGAGAAGGGTCAAGGGCCGTACTGTCCAACCAGTTCTGAAGCAGTAGCCAGTAGCGAACTAGCCACACTCAACCGGCTGTAAGAGATCATTTTAACCTCCCTAAACATTCAATAATGTATTTGAAAGTAGCCATCCTTCTACAAAAGAATTTTAAAAAATGGTTACAAAAAGAGACAGCTGAACTGGAATTCATTTGCAAATTCAACACTATTAACTTAGGACTGAATAAGGATCTCAACTGGTTAACTCATTACAAAGGCTATTTCCCCTCTCTGGATATTCACATCTCCAGACCAAATGCTGCGAATGACCCACTTTACCCTGACTTGATTAGCTTCAGTACACAAGTAACTTCTTCCTTATATATCCCACTGCTTTTGTAACTTCCACTCCAATTAATCTGACGAAGTGGGTTTTACCTACGAAAGCTTATGCCCTAATAAATCTGTTAGTCTCTAAAGCTGCCACAGGACTCCTCGTTGTTTTTGCAGCTACAGACTAACACAACTGCCCCGCTGAGACTTCAGCAGCAACAGAGACATTTTTGGAAAACTGAAATATCAGCTCTCTGGCACATCCTGCCATGAACATGGGGGATGATTGGTAATGGAACTCAGAAACTAAGATGCAGACATGGACTCTGATGTGAAGTTATTCCTGCCCATCTTTCATCCTTGTCCACACAATACGTTGCTCCTGCCAAAAAAGTGTATGTCTGTTTTTAACAGCAGGATAACTAACATCCTAGTGGAGATCAGGCACCTGCAATTTTTGCTGTGCAGTAACCAAGTGACATCAACACTATTCCCCTACCTGTGACTGACCTCACCTAGCTACCCCTGCAGTAAAAATTACAGGTGCCTAGTCTCCATTGCAATTTTATAGAGACCTGTCTAATGCCCACTGATTATCCTACTAGAAAAAGAAATAAACAAAACACCTGGTGTCAGCAGTGAAGACAAAATTATAAAGAAACAGGCCAGAAGGTGAGGGGATAACAGGCTAACACAGGGGTAGGCAATGATTTTTGATGAGGGGACACTCCAAGATTTTGGTAAGTGGTCAAGGGCCGCACTTCTCTATGGAGGGGATGCAGATCAGGGATGGAGGTTGAGTGCAGAAGGAAGCTCAGGGTAGAGGACTGAACTGCAGGAGAGGGAGGGTCTGAGAGAAAAGTTGGTGAAGGAGGGGATTGTGACCTGGGGCAGAGGACTGGGGTGCAAGGTCTGAGTGAAGGAGAGGATTCTGGCCCGAGAGAAGCATGTAGGAGTGGGTACTGGGCTGAGGAGGGACTTGTGACCTGGGGAAGGTGAGGTGCAGAGGGTTTGGGTAGTGGCCTGAGGCAGGGAGTTGACGTGCAGGATAGGGATGTTAAATGTAGATAAACTAGCTAATCAAATAGATGACTATTCGATTAGTCGATAAAGGTGTCTCCTCCTTTGAAGTGTAGCAACAGCCCAGGGCTGTTGCTACACTTCAAAGGCAAAAGCGCTACGGGGAGCATGGGGTCAAGCAGGGGACTCAAGCAGTCCACTGTTAGCCCCGTCTTCTCCGTGGCGCCTTAAAGTGGCAGCACAGCATGGAGTCTGGGGTCACCGGGGAAGTCCTCAGAAGATCTCGGGCTCCTTGAGGCACTGCTGCTTTGAAACGCATGTGCAACCTAGGGCTGGCCACAGGCAGCACGCAGCGTTTCAGAGCAGCAGACCTCGGGCTCCACCCAGCACTGCCACTTTGAAGCACCCCCTGTTCTTTCCTCCCACCTTGCTGCCTCTTTCTGATAGAGGCAGCAAGGAAGGGGGGAGGGATGCAAGTAGTCAACTGTTGTGTCGACTATCCAATAAGCATTTGCATATCGGACAGTCCACTAATTGTTCACATCCCTAATGCAGGAGAGTATGGCATCCCAGATGCTGGCTCTGGCCAGGAGGAGCTTACCTAGGTGGCTCCCAGCCTGGAGACCAGCACGACCCTCAGACAAGCTCCCTTCCTGCCACAGCCCCATGAAGCTCAAAGCCCCATGAACCCCATCAGCCTCAGCTTTCCCTGCCCCCCCAAGGAGCATGCAGTGCTGAGTGGCACATGGTTCCTCAGCTAGCCGCTTTGAGCAATCTGAGCAACACTGTTGTTGCTGAACACGCTGGGGTAATTTCAAGGTAGGTGCCCTCCTTCTGTTTCTTACAAAGAAGGCAACAGGGAATTCTAACTTGCTTCCTAGCAGAGATTTGGTCTGCAAAACATCTCAAGTGCTTAGGAATTCAGTCATTGTAAAAAGGCAAAAGGACTTACAAACAACTTTTCTGTTTGAAAAGCCCTTCAAGAAACCAATTTACAAAAAAAGAAGTAGAGAGAGGAATGAGGACTTTTTATACTTGGATCAAGAAAGATGAAGAGTCAAGGGGGTAAGTCTGACAGCTGAGAAATTAGAAAGAAAAAGGAGACTAATTTAAAGGGCCAAAGGGTAGACAATAATTTTCAACATTTACAAACCATCTTAAATCTCAAGTGTCTTGGAGATATGCAAATCCAAAACTATTTCTAAACGCAATTTTTGCTAGCCCAAAAAACAGTCTATATCAGTAACTGTACTGATCTAAGTAAAGTCTATATCACAGGATTAATAGGAACCTGCAAAAGGTATTTTTTTAAATTGGGTTTTTACATTTTCTGCTTCTCTATGAAGTATAAAATACCAGGAAGGTTTGTTCTTTCCCTTAGCAATATACTAGATTGTTTTATTCCTTAGAAATATTATGACCGTTTTCCCAGCTTGTTTTTTTTATTGGGGAGGGATGAAGAAAAGGGGTGAAGGTGAGAGGATCAACTGGATGTCTCAGAGACTGTGTATTTCCCACACTGTACGTAAAAGGCTAATGATATCTGCCCTAGTTTATTCATAGGCTCTGGGTAGAATCAGCATATGCCACTTTCAGATTTTTCTTCAAGATTTGTTCCATGCAAGTCTGATTCTGCCAGTTATCTAATACAGTGTTTCTCAACCTTTTTTTTTTTATAAAGTACCCCCTTTAAAAAAAATTGTAAATACCGCCGGTACCTACAGTTTTCAGACAGACAATTTTTTTTTCTACCATTGCAACACATTTGCTTAAACAACTTACTCATAGCAGGGCAGGTTTTGAAATTTTTGGGTGTAAAAAGTACAAAAATAATAAAGTGCTGTAAAACTTAAAACAAAAATTCAGCTTTCTCCAAATTTCAGTTGTGTTGACGTACCCTCCAGACTTCTCTCAAGTACCCTTAAGGGTACTCATACCACTGGTTGAGAAACACGGATAGATTTACATGGAATATGCATGAGGTATGCTGCAGCCACTGACAACTACTTGGTAAATTTCCATGTTGCTGTAGATATGCTGGAGGGGAAGACTCCATACTAGTAGAGACTGTTACCTATTCAAAAGCAAAATACACTGATAAGGCAGTTCAATTGCATTATCTTATTTGATTACTTACAAAGTGGGAAAAAGACCATCACCTCCCTCTCCTTGCCCGCTGTTCTGTTAAGCAACTATTTAATGGCTTTGTTCCTAAGAAGGAATCCACATCAGCTCTGAGTAGTGTTTTATGAATAGGGATACATAAAAGGACTTGGGAGGCAACACAGAAGAGAATGAGGCCACATAACTGAACTGTATAATCTCAGGCATGCAGTGATCCATTCTATTTCCATTACATTATGTCTGTATACTAATGCGTGAAGTATGGGGAATAAGGAGGAAGAACTCATTGTGCTAGGAAATAAACACAACTATGACATAACTGGCATCAGAGACTTGGAGGGATAATATGCATGACTGGAATATTGGTACAGAAGAGGACAGCTTGCTCAGGAAGGAAAGGCAGAGAGAAAAGGGGGGAGGGCATTGCCTTATATAAACACTTGGACTGACACAGATGGAAATAGGAGACACAATTGTGAGAGTCCATGGGTAAGAATAAAAGGAGTAATAACAAGGGCGATGTCATGGTACGGGTCAACTTCAGACCACATGATCATCCAAAACACAGGACTTGGTGGTGATGTGGGACTAACCAGATATCCCCAAAATAAATCATTCCAGAAGTTCTTGGAATGTATTAAAGACTATGTTTTGTTTCAAAAGATGGAGAAAGCTACGTGGGCGGGAAGGCTGTTCTAGATTTGATTTCGACAAACAGGAAGGAACTGGTGGAGAATTTGAAAGCAGAAGGCAGCTTGGGTGAAAGTGACCATGAAATAATAAGAATTCATGATTTTAAAGAATGGTAAGTGGGAGAATATTAAAATAAAGACAATGGCTTTCAAAAAGGTAGAGTTTAGTAAATTCATAGAGGGGTAGCTATGTTAAGTCTGTAACTTTAAAAAATCGAATAGCCCTTCAGAGGGGTAGGTGTGTTAAGTATGTAACTTTAAAAAATCGAATAGCCCTTTAGCACCTTAAACGCTAACAAATATATAATATATATATATAGTATCATAAGCTTTTGTGGGCAAAATCCACTTCCTCCGATTTTTTTTAGCAAATTCAGCAAGTTATTAAGTAAGATCCCATGGGAAGTAAATCTAAGAAAACAAAACCAATTGAAGAGAGATGGCAGTTTTTCAAAGAGACATTAAGGGCACAAGAGGAAACTATTTCACTTTGTGGGAAAGACAGGAAGTATGGCAAGAGGCCATCCTGACATAAGCAGAAGACCTTGAATGATCTGAAAATCAAAAAGGAATCCTACAAGAAGAAAAGGAAACTAGGTTAAATTACAAAGGATAAATATAAGCAAGCTAGAAGATTTACCCAGCATTGCTTGAGTCTTTAACTCAATTCATTTTTATTTTTTGGAAAATAAAATTAAAATAGGGTGTTTAATTTAAATCATTGCTCTGGGGTGGGGCTGGGGCTGGGAATGAGGGGTTGAGGATGCAGGCTGCCCAGGGAGAGAGGTCTAACCCAGCCCTCTTGCCGCAGTAGCTTGGGGCCAGGTGAGAAGCACCTCTCCATGGCTGCTGTAGCTTCAGTGGGCACAGCCAGGGAAGAGGTGCATGTCCCCCAGCTGGGGAACATCCAGGTTCATCTGCCCCCTGCACTCTCCAGGTAGAGTAAGGAATGTAGCAAACTATGCACTTTCCCCTCACTTTATGTCCCCCTACAAGTCAGGATGGAGGGAGCTTCAACCGTTCCCCTCCCTCAAGGGCACCTGAGGGGTGGAAAGCTCAGAGCTGGGGCAATCCCCCAGCCAGCCCATTTCACCTGCCAGATGATTCAGTCTCTTTTCGTTATGATTTTATGAGAAGCAATCCCATTCCAGGCACATCCCGTTTTCCTGTCATAACGAAATCCTGACCTTGCTTTAAGGAATGAAAAGAGGAAGCTGCCTACTAAAGTTGGTGGCCCTAGCTCTTACTGTTTAGGAGGAGTTCTTGAACAGACAGACAAACTCTCTCAAATATATAATAGACTAGAAGGCTTACCCAGTATTGCAGGGTGTGGGGAGTGCAGGAGTGTGTGTGTGTGTGGGGGGGGAAGATGACTCAGGGCAGGAGGCTGGTGGTGTGGGGAGGTGCAAGAGTCAGAGATGGGAGGGTAAAAAGGGGCTCAGGGCAGGAAGTGGGGGATGTAGGAGTCAGGGCAGGGGGCTGGGAGGGGTTGGGAGACTCAGAGCAGGGGGCAGCTTCTCTCCAGGGCCAGCCTGGGGCAGCAGTGGCTGTTCCACCCACCCGATGGCTTCTCTCCAGGGTTGGTCTGGGGCAGGAGGGGCTACGCAGCTCACCCTCAGTTCCCCAGTGGTGGCCAGGGGCAGGCTGCCCAGTGGAGGTGGCCAGCAGCATCTGGCCACTGCTTCTCAGGGGGTCGCAGGGGCCACACTGGACAGATGGCAGCTGCTCACCAGGGTGACGGGGCCATACTGCTAACCAACAGTTGCATCATGAGACTGGGGTGCTTGCTGCCCTCTGTGGTCATTCTGGGTATAACTGTGCCCAGTACTTGCTGCCTGCCTGTGGTCATTCATAACTATAACTGTCCCTGCTATGACACTCCTCTCTTTCCGTTTGATGAGAGACAATCACATTCCACGCACATCCCATTGTCCTGGCACAACCAAACCCTGACCTTGCTTACAAGCCGACCTTGCTATACGTCCAGGAAATGTTCCAAAAAACTTGGACTTATAGTGAAACAACTTAAAGCAGGGAATTTTTTTCCCCATGGCTGACTTTCATTTGCGCGAAGTGGGTTTTCTTTTGCACGACTTAAAGAGCGGGGAATGAGAAGACTTATAACACATCAGTTCCTACAAGGGTCAACAACTTTGGTGCAGAACGGATGTATACCGGGCGACTGATAGCAGGGATGCCCTGTACCAAATTTGGTGGTTCTAGCTCTTACTGTTTAGGAGGATGCCTTGAACAAATGGACTTTCAGATGGATGGACAGACACAAAGACAGACAGACACCCACACGGTCTCAAATATATAGTAGACAACACATGTATGTAGTGGAAAAATTAGAAAGGCACAAAATGAGCTCAAACTAGCTAAAGACAAAGAATAAGACAAAAACATTCTACAAATATATTAGAAACAAGAGGAAAACTAAGAACAGAGTAGAGAAAAAGAATAAATGAGGAAATGACAGAGATGCTTAAAGACTTCTTTGTTTCGATTTTCATCAAAAAGGATGGTGGTGATTGGACACCTAACACAGTGAATACCAGTGAAAATGGGGTAGGTTCATTATCTGAAATAGGGAAACAGCAAGTTAAAATTACTTGAAAAAGTTAGATGTCTTCAAGCCACCAGGGCCTGATGAAGTACATCCTAGAATACCCAAGGAACTGATTGCTGACTGAGGAGGTATCAGAGCCATTAGCTATCATCTTTAAAAAAAATCAATGAAGACAGGATTGATTCCAGAAGAACTAGAAAAGGGCAAAATCTAGTGCCCATCTGTAATAAGGGAAATACAGACAGCCTAGGAAATTAGAGACCAGGCAGTTTAACTTCTGTGCCAAGAAAGACAATGGAGCAAATAATTAAAGAATCAATTTGCAAACATCTAGAAGATAATAAGGTGATAAGTTAAGTGGCAGGCAAAACAAGGCTTGCAGGCCAGATCCAGCCCCCCAACCCTTTGGATCTGGCCCACAGCCCATCAGGACCCTCATTCAGGCAGACTCCCTGCCTGCTGCAGTCCCAGGCTGCTCAAAGTGGCAGGCTGCTAGGGCTCTGTGCCTGTTGGCGCTGTGTGCCCCTTCAAGGGGAAAAGGGGAACAGGTGTTGCCCACTGCTCCCACCACAGCACAACCATCACAGCTCTCACTGGCAGGTGACTGGGCTGGAGTGGTGGCAGTGCACAAAGTCTCCCCCTCCCATCTTGGGCATGCAGTTCAGAGAGGCAAATGGCCCCAAGCAGGCAGCCACTTTGAGCAGGCAGCCACTTTGAGTCTGTATGAGGGTCCCGCTGGGCTGCTGGCCAGGAGTCACCTAAGTAGGAGCCAGCCAGAGCCAGTATTTGGCATCCCATTCCTTCTCACACCCCTGATCTCTGCCAAAACCCTCTGCACCCCATCTTCCCCAGGGCACAACTCCCGCCCAGACTCTGTACCCCCTCCTACACCTCTACCCTAGAGATGTAAACTTTTGATTAGTTAGCTAATCAAATAGTCGATGAAATTTGCATCAACTATTCAATTAGTCTATAAGGACGCTTCCACCTTTCAAGTGTAGCAATAACCCTAGGGCTATTGCTACACTTCAAAGGTGAAAGTGCCACATAGAGTCTGGGATAGAGGCAGCAAGGGTGGGGGGAAGCGACTAGTTGATACGCAGCACTGCTGTTTTGAAACACTGCGTGCAGCCTGGGGCCAGCCGGAGCCCCTGAGCTGCACGTGGCTTTTTAAAGTAGCAGCACCACGTGGAGCCTGATATCTGGCCACAGGCTCCACATGGTGCTGCTGCTTTGAAGCACCCTCCTCTTCCCCCTTGATGCCTCTTTCTTTCTCCTCCTGCTGCGTGTTAGCCTTTTAAATGTATTAAGAACCAACAAGCTCTTAATACATTTAAAAAGCAGAACCACAGCAAGGTTAGCTGTCAACTAGTCGATTAGCTGATTAAACTGAATTTAACGTCCCTACAAAGAACCTCTTAAAAGAAATACTGTCAGCTCTTCATGCATTTAAAAGGCTGGTGCACAGTGCGGGGGAACCAGTGCGAGCCAGGAATCAGCTGTCCTGGCTCACGCCGGGTCCCCCCCAGTATGCTTCTCATTTTTAAATGTATTACGAGCCAGCAGACTCTTAATACATTGAAAAAGCAGAGACCCAGCGTGTGGGACAGGGCATGAGCTGGGAATCAGCTGATTCTCAGCTTGCACATGGTCCCCACTACCCCTCTGTCTCACATGGAGACAGTGCTGGGGGAACTGGCTTTTAAATCTCCCCCTAGCACTGGTTCCTGCTCCCTCCCTTGAAGCTTCTAATAGAGACAGTAAGGGGTTGGGGGAGCGACTAATCAGGGCACTAGTCGACTATCTGATAAGCTTTTACTTATCAGATAGTCAACTAGTTGCTCACATCCCTAGTTCTTTCATGGTCAAAGCTTTAAAAGTTTATAAAAGTCTTATAATTGTTTTTTTACAATGGAACTAGCTTTTTTGTTGAGAACATGGAACTAGATGTCTTACCTGAAGAGAATGACAGCACAGGATGAAAAGTGGAGTCCATCTCTGGTATATGTTGTACTATTCTGGATGTTGTATCGCGTTCATAACTGCTCCAAATGGAGGCTGGAGCCATGCAAGGCACTTGTGTATTATATGGAAACGAAGCATCTCTAGATGGCAAAGCCTGCAAGGATATAAACAGAAACATCATCTGAAATGTTCATTTTCCCTTTGTTCACTTTCTAAAACTGGGCCAAAGAGATAAATATGTTAGTGAGAGTAATGAATGACTCAATGCTATGAAAATGAGAAATGCTCTCATACAAACTTTGATTAGCCTAGAAGTGATAAAAATCGACTGGAAAAGTGATTTTGGCCTCTGTGTTCTGTATCTGAATGAAAAGTTATTTTGCGTCATTCAGAGCTAGGAAAAAATGTAGAGAAGCAGTATTTTATTTCCAAAGTGGTTTCCAAATCAAAAGGTAATTGTTCTCAACCTGTAATAAAATTTGGGTATTCCCTACAAACAAGAAACAAAAAGGCCAGTGGAACAGTTAATCTTCTAGTTAGGCACAACAAATCTGACTGGTATTATAATAGCAATTTTTTTTCTTTGTATATACCAAACTAAGTATCTGTTACCCAGCTTAAACAACATGAAAGTCATGGTACCTGTATATTTCCATACATTATTGACCTCTTACATAGAAACTGCATTACACATAAATATGTGTGCCATATATTTACATAGTATCCAGGAGGAAAGCAAAGTCACTGCCTCACAGAAACTACAATCTAAGATAGATAGCACAAAGAAAACCCCAACACAACACATGGGAATAATGTAGGAAAGAGATCCAGTGGGAAGTACTGAAGAACAGGGCCAGCCCACATTTTGGCACCTGAGACAGGGAGCTCAAATGACGCCTCCTGCCCCCTCACTGGGGCCAAAAAAGAAAGTTACTCACCTAGTGCAGTAACGTCTGTTCTTCGAGATGTGTGTCCCCGTGGGTGCTCCACTTGAGGTTCTGGGCTCGTCCCGGCGCCGCAGACCGGAGGAATTTTCATTAGCAGTAGCCCCCTGCCGGACCGCGCATGCGCGAGTGTCCCCTTCGCGCCTTTCATCTGAGCGCGGTCCAGTCTCGTCAGTTTCCTCCCAACCGGAAGCATCTGAAAGACATAAATAGAGGCTCCGAAGCAGGGAGGAGGGTGGGACGTGGAGCACCCACGGGGGGACACATCTCGAAGAACAGACGTTACTGCACTAGGTGAGTAACTCTCTTTTCTTCATCGAGTAGTGTCCCCGAGGGTGCTCCACTCGAGGTGAGTACACAGCAGTGGTCCAGCGTGACTTGCGTGCTTCGGACCTATCGCTTTCGGGCTGTAGACAAGACAGCCTGAGCTACCCTCGAATCGGAGTTAAGTATGTTCGCAAGGGCATAGTGCTTAGCGAATGTGAGGGTGGACGACCAGGTTGCTGCACGGCATATGTCCTGCAATGGTACTCCACGAAGATAGGCAATGGATGTAGCTATGCTCCGGGTGGAATGAGCACGAAGACCGCTCGGAAGAGACTTGTTGCGCAAGGCA